TGCAGCCCTCGTTGCAGCCGGCGCGCGCCCGGCTGTTCCGCCCGGGAGCATCCCGCCGTTCCCGCCGTTCCCGCCGCTCCCGCCCCGGCGCCTCTGCAGGGARCAAATGCGGCGGCTGCAACCGGAGCGGCCCGGAAGCGGCCGCAGCTTCCGCCAGCCCCGGCTCTTCCCGGCCACTCCCCCCGCTTTTCCGGCGTATTCCCAGCTTTTCCACTTCCCTTGTTTTTCCCGGCCATTCCCGGCTGTCCCCGGCCATTCCCACCCGCTCCGCCTGGTTTTCCCGCCCAGTCCTGACTTTTCCCGGCCTCCCTGCCTGTTTTCCCAGCTGTATGTCTCTTATCCCGGTCTCCCTGCCCGTGTTTTCCCGGCATTCCCGGCATTCCCAACCATTCCCAACCATTCCCGGCTTTTCCCACCCACTTCCCCTATTTTTCTCAGCATTCCCAACCATTCCCGGCATTCCCAACCATTCCCAGTATCCCCAGCATTCCCAACCATTCCCAACCATTCCCAGCATTCCCAACCATTCCCGGCATTCCCGGGCTCTCACCCGCGGCGGGCAGCTCCGTGGCCCCGCTCCGGGCGGCTCCTCCGGAGGCTCCGGGCGCCGCCGTCCTGCCGGGCGGCAACGGCGTGAGGTGGGAAACGGGACCGGAACTGCCGGGAAGCCCGTGGGAAGGGGCTCCGCCCGCGGGAATGCCGGGAATGGGGCGGGAAGCGGCTCCGCCCGCGGGAAATGACACCCGGATACACCGGGAATCCCACGGGAAGGGGCTCCACGCGTGGGAATCCATGCGGATCCCCCGGGAACGGGGCGGGAAGCGGCTCCGCATGCGGGAAACGGGAGCCGGAGCGGCTGGGAATGCCATGGGAAGGGCTCCGCATGCGGGAGCGCGGCATGCATGCACGAGGCGCCAATGCAGCGTGGGCTGCAGTGCATGCGCGCAGCGCCCGGCGAAGCTGCAGCGGGCATGCAGCGGAACGGGCTGCAGCGCATGCATGCAGTGACCTGCAAAGCCGCAGCAGGGATGCAGCGGAACGGGCTGCAGCGCATGCATGCANTGCAGCGGAACGGGCTGCAGCGCATGCATGCAGTGACCTGCAAAGCCGCAGCAGGGATGCAGCGGGACGGGCTGCATTGCACGCCCCACACCCGCACCCCCTTACCTGCGCAACGCGCCGTCCTCTCGCTGCGGCGCTGCAGGCTGCGGGGCGGGCGCCGGGTGCAGCCGCTGCGGCTGCAGCGTCGCCGTCGCCGCGTCGCAGCCCTCCGGGCGGCCCTGCAGCGGCGCCTGCAGCCCAGGAGCGACGCTGCGGGCGCTGCAGCGCTGCGGGCACCGCGGGCATGCGCGCAGCGCTGGTRCATGCAAGATGCGACGCGCGCAGCACTGTGCGCACTGGCCGGGCATGCAAAACGCAGCGCAGTGGTGCATGCAACGCATCGTTGCACGCGTGCAATCCTGCACACAACACTCGTGCATGCAAAAACGAGGCGCTGCGGTGCACACAGCGCAATGCATGCAATGCGCGCCGCGCCGCGCACACCGGCTGCGCATGCTGCACACAGTGCATGCAGCGCTGCACGCATGCAGCATTGCGGTACCTCGCGGGCGCGCGTAACGCTGCGGCGCGGSGGCGGCGGCTCCTGCGGCGGCTCCTGCAGCGCTGGTTGCAGTGGCTGCGGCGGCTCCCGCTCGATGCCGGTGGCCCCGGGGCCCGGCCGCTCGCTGACGTGCTCTGCAACAGGCGCATGCAGYGCATGTGCATGAGCCCGGCAGGCGCCAGCGCTGCATGCACACATGTAATGCTGGCACGCAGCGCCTGCATGCATGCAACTTGCACTTAACGCATACAATGGTGCATGTGAGCCTGCCATGCATTGAGCTGCCAATGCTCGCCCGCAATGCACGCATGCGTGCGAGCCCGCGTGCATGCTTGCAATGAGTCCAGGGRTGCATGCATGCTTGCCAGCACGCACACAGTCGCACCTCTCGCATGCAAAACATGCGTGCACGCATGCMTCTCCCACACCAGCGCCGCCTGCATGCCAGCAACGGCCACATGCAAGGCTTGCACGCATGCACGGGAGCTCAACATGCGCCAGCTCTGCATGCATGCACGAAACACTTGCATGCAGCATTTACACTGCACAGCTGCATGCACACATCTTCCTCTTGCACTGCATGCACCACATTCTGCACGCATGCTGCACTACTCTCAATGCACGCATGCTCACTCGCAGCACTTGCATGCACGCACCCCATTGCATTGCATGCACCAYACAGTGCAGGCACGCTCCAACGCCCACACCGCATGCATGCATGCTCACGAAGCTTGCATGCAGCCCCCCGTTGCATTGCATGCATGCACGGCGCTTACCCTGCCCGTCGAAGTGCTGCCGGTAGCTACTGCAATTGCTGCATCTGCCTGTTCTGCAGGCGCTGCTGCTGCAGCCGCTGCAGAACTGCAGGCTGCTCTGCAGCGGCTCGGTGCTGCCGCCTGCACCTGCATCCGCCTCCAGCGCTGCAGCAGCTGCAGCCGCGTC